ACAACAAAAATGACCAAAATATGGAAGGACTGTCAAATTTCAAGAGCGATAAAGATGAGGTTGATCAACTGCTTAATATTCCCAATACTGACCTACGGATGTGAATCTTGGACTCTGAGACAATCGGAGAGAAGAAAGATAGACGCCACTGAAATGTTCTGTTGGAGACGAATGTTACGAATTCCTTGGACCGACCGTAGAACAAATAATTCAATTTTAAGAGAGCTAAAAGTTAGCCAACGACTCTCTAGTAAAGTCCATCTCCAACAATTAAAATATTTTGGGCATGTTATGAGAGCAAACACAGAAAACATGGAAAGACTCATAATACAAGGAAAGGTAGAAGGCCGAAGATCACGAGAAAGATCCCCAACAAGATGGATAGATCAAATTACAGGAATATGCCAAAGACCTATGCATGAATTAAAAGAAATGACCAGAGACAGAGATCTCTGGAGACGGACAATACACGACATCACGTCGACCACTACACTCCCCCTGGGGGGTCAGGATGGAAGAGAGAGAATTACTAAAAATCATATGTGAGTAAAACAATAATGAAAAGGTAGTCTTAGAAACAACTATTTCATTTAGCATCTCTTTTTTTTAAGGGATTAACAAGGCGTGAAATCCACGAATTTCACAACATTTATTTCCAAAATAATTGATTTTACGGAAAAAAATTTACAAGCAATGACAAATGCAAATCTTGCCCTTTATTTGATAAAAATAGTTAATCACTTAAAATACCAAGCTGTATGTGACCTGTCACAGACAGGCTAAAAAATTATTTTAAATCTCAGTGTATTTAATGTAATTTTCTTTTTAAAATCTATTTAAATAGTAATAATATTCAGAAGATACATTTATGTGCCAAAGGATAGTAAAAAATGGTAGAGAAAGTAAGGGGCGAATTTACCTGGAGACAGTTTCGTTCGCGCTCATGATCTGTTCACTTGTAATTGTTGGGCCCCATTTTGGCTTGTCAGTGAATAGATTGTAGTATATGTAATAAATTTCACGAAAGCACAGTTATTAATTTTGTTTCTTTGGCCTGTAGAATAAACAACGTGATTATCATATTTTTAGCGTCCACATCTACTTGTATAAAATCAGTTGATTATATTTTTGCCACAAAAGCAAGCGTAAAAATGATGGAACATATTTAAAATACGACATTTATAATATGCACGACCATTTGCAGCTTACGACGAAAGCATTTTTTCACTAAAGCTGTACACAACAATTAACAATGTTTAATGAAGTATATGTTTTATTACAATGGTTACAATGCATATTATATTTAGTCTACAGTGGAGAAAAGTTTGCGTATAAATTCGTATGCCAATTCGATATCACGGATTTGCGGTGACTCAGATTAATTTTATAGCACAAAAAAAGGACAGAAATAAAATGGAAAAAAATATATCAGAATAAGTAAAACGGGAGTCCATGACGTTGGTATAAATGATATTTGTAGAACTTAAAAAGGAAACAACTATTTGACAGATGCATTTACCACACTCTATACAAGGCTATATTTGGCATCAAATTATTAATGGATTTGCTGACTGAAATCGTTCACTTGAAACAGGACGACAATATTAGATCCGACACAGAATTGCTCTTCTTCTTTTTCGAGTGCTGCATATAAGTTAGAGCGCCCACCAAACTGGCGTGGCACGTGGCAAGTAGCAAGTAGCACGCGTCTAGCATTTTACTTAAAATGTAATTAATGAATCATTCGATCTAATCATTCGTTTGCATTGGTTACATTTTATGTAACATGCTAGACGCGTGCTACTTGCTACTTGCCACATGCCACGTTACTGTGGTGAGCGCTCTCCCTAAGGTAAAAGGTTAGTGATTAATCTGGCAAAGCCTTCCATGCCTCTACTTACTTACTCCGTGGCGTTACAACCCTTCGTGGATTTTAGCCGACTCGACAACATGCCTCCACTGTTTTCTGTCTTGAGCAATCTCCATCCAATTCTCCACGCCCATAGTGCTTAGGTCTCCTGCTATATTATCTCGCCACCGGAGACGAGGGCGTCCGCGTGGTCTCCTTCCAGTTGGGACTTCCTCCCACACCAGTCTTACTGTTCGTTCGTCAGAATGTCTTCTGAGGTGTCCTGCCCATTGGAGTCTTCTGGACTTTATTTCTTTTATGATGTTGGCGTCTGGGTAAAGTTCTTCGAGCTCTTTGTTAGTTCTTATCCTATATTGTCCTGATGCTTCATCCAGCACAGGACCAAAGATCTTCCTTAGGATTTTTCTTTCCCAAACACATAGTCTCTCTTTGTTTGCCTTTGTTATCGTCCACGTTTCGCTTCCATACATCACAACGGGTCGTATGATTGTTTTATAGACCTGTATCTTCGTACGTCTTGTTAGTTGTTTCGTTTTATAAGGTTTTGGAGGGCAAAAAGACATCTGTTGCCGGCCTGAATCCTGTTGTTTATTTCTTGTGATCCGTTATTGTCTTCAGTTATTGTTGTTCCAAGATACTTGAATTCTCTAACGCGCTCAAAGTTAAAGTCATCGGTGGTGATGTTCTGACCGATTCTGTCTCTGCTTTGGTTCTTGCGGCTCATATACATATATTTTATCTTCTCTGCTTCCTTCTCGAACCTCACAAAAGTCTCCTTCATCCTTAATCGTGTGTTTCATGCCTCTACTGTTCACATTAAATCTTCTAGCTTGGTCAATTATCTGATGTATATCATCTAGGATAGTGTTTTTTGTGTCTTAACAGATGACCAGAACATTTGTTTTTCTTCTCTCTCATTATTTATTTGTTATAAAACTTCTTGGTTTAATATGATTGCTTTTAAAACTATTCTTAAGATTCAGCAATAAACTAGAACCATCCAAGTGTTCTAGTTTATTTAAGTTCAAAGTCGTTAAGGTTCATATCTCGATTTCATAATGTAATATGGACATATCTACATAACATCTTCTCCCTCTCTCCAATGGCGCTACAGCCCAAATCGAGCCTTGGCCTCCTCCAAACTATACCTGTATCCTTTTCAGTTCCACGCCGACGTTCTCCAGATTTTCAAGTCTAGCAAATTTTGTGCGTCCGTTTCCCTTAATCATCATATCTTTTCCGTGGCGTTTCTTTTGGTCTTATGCACCGCATTATACTTCTAGGGATCTTTTTGGCAATCTTTCGGTCTGCGTTCTCACTAGTTCTCAAGTTTAGGGAATTCTGAGGTCTGGATTTCCATACTCCGTTTTCGTTAATAGGTCCAAATATGTTCCTTAAAACTTTTCTTTCGATCACTTGCAGCTTTCGTTTTATGTTTCTGTCATACCCATGTCTCGCATCCATAACATACTATGATCTGATAATAGATTTATAGACCCTGATTTTCGATCTTCAGTGTGTGTTTTTAAAAAAAACACATGGAAAAGTGAAAAGTAATCTTTGTTTTCCTTTCTGTTCTTTAATTTCTGGTTTTTCTGTTTCATCCGTGTTTCATGCAACTCCCAGATATGTGAAACTTTCTACAGTTTTAGTATTCTCCTTTATTGAACTGTGTATCTTTTTCTCCTAGTTCTTGCCTGTGTTTTAGCTTTATTGTCTTTTGTTTATTTATTTCTAGTCCCGTCTCTTCTCCTGTTTTTAATTGTGAATGTATTTATGCGCTCTTCTGAGACTTAATGCTAGTGTCATCGGCATAGGTGATAATCTATATTCATTTATTTGTTAAGAGATTACGTTTTCATCTATGCAGCTGCTTTATCACATATTCGAGAGTTAGGTTAAATAGTGTGGTTAAATTTTGTACTCTGATAGTTGCTGTTAATGAATCCATTGTTGCTTTTACTAGTCGGATGTATTTTTCTGGGATGTTAAAGCGATGCAATATTTGATATAACGTTTGTCTATTAATTGAGTCGTAGGCCTATTTAAAATCTATAAATATATTGTGGACGTCAATGTCGTATTCTCACTATTTTCATAATATCTTACAAATATTAATATTACTTTATGGATTCTGGACATGGATTTCAAAGATTGTGGGCTCCAAACTGGAAGATAGAATTCCACAATAGCGAGAATGACAAAGGAAACTCAATAATTTGAATGAACACAATGAATGAAAAATATGCTCAACCTGTATATCAGCTAAAAAATGGCAGTCCACGACATTATTTGTTTATAAAATAACAAAACATATATATTTTTAGTATTTTAGGGACAAAAAAAACTAATAAGCTCCTGGAAAGTATTATAGTTAAAAAATAGGCAACAGAAATTTTACAGCAATGCTGCAATATATATTCGCATTTCCCTACTGCGCATGATCAGAACATTATAGAACTTTCTCTAAGAGTTTTTGACCATACCTTATGTAAACAGCGCAATAGTCGCTAAAGTACTCAAAATTGAAGAATTTCATTAGGTCAGGACATTTTTCATACAAAATACAAGTTCTTTAGAAAACATAAGCGAAAAAAGAAAATTTGAGCTGTTAGGTAAATGCAAAAACAAAATCAAAAATGTGAAAATAAAATCTTATTATAAGAAATATAACAAAGGTAGAAGAGGTAAGCAAGTAGAATACGATATAGACGAATAAAAGAGTTAGAACAACACAGTATAACACAGTAACAACAAAAAAAACCATTATCTCTACAATATTTGTAAAAAAGTTAAATACTGTAAGTAATTCTATATAAAACGTTTATATAAATAATATTTTTGTAAATTTAATATATTCTAGATATATTTGGAGTAATACATGTTCAAAATGACAATAAATTTTACGCAAAAGCTTCTCCGTGCTACGACAACTACGTAACCAATCTGAGCCGCTACCAACCGCGTGCTACCTTATATTAGATCAGTGAGAGCGTGAACGTGTGGTGAGTCTCAGACTGGTCATTTATAATACACGTGATATGTAGTAAATCGTAGATCGTAGATCCATTCAGTCCTTTAATTGGTGACTCGGCCCCGGAGGGTCGCTAGGGGGGAGGCTAAGCAAATGTTAAGCTTCTAGGAAGATTAACGCCGTTGGTTTCGGCTCCATGTTGCTCTTTTTTGCCTCCACGACCAGAAATTCGATTTCTTCGCGATCTCTTCGGGCGAAGCATTCGGCTATGAGGCGGGCGACGTCTTGATGCTGAAGACCATCCACCCTGGTACCGTCCACTTGAAGGATTAGTTGGCCGACCTCGAGGCCACCTGCGTAGAATGCGGCTCCACTTTCCTGAAATGTAAATATTATTTAAAATATTTTTCTTAATTAATAAAAATGCGTTTATATCTATACTTTGATAAATTTCTTCGACTTTATGCTCTATATGAAATTCTTTCAATTATGTAAGACAATATTAATGATAAAAGTTGATTCGAGCACCCTAAAGTATCCAGCTTAGCGATAAAATGTAGTGATTAATTTTGCGAAAGGCTTTAATACAAGAGAGAAAATTAAAAATCACACCAGAGAGAAAACAAAACACCAAAGAGAAAACAATTCAAAAAACAACAAAGTACTATGAAGACAATTCGTAGCTCAAAAACATCCAAGGACAATCGCCAATTACAAAGTGGGCCCTGTTGCGTTAAAGAGGGCAATCTCTTTATCATTATATTGTTTTATATATCATCAGTGTCATAGCATAGATATTGCACTAATTTTGATTTTTGTTTCAGGGCTACCTACAAAAAAAACAAAAAAAAATACACAAAAAACCGGCCTCGGCCACCAAAAAAATTAAAAAATACTAACAAAAACCGGCGCAAGCCAACAAAAAAATTAACAAAAACCCAAAACCGGGCACGTAGGGCCCAACCCTTGAGCACCAAGTCGCCGAACTGAGCTGGTGCTCAGAGCGGAGACTTGAGGCCCAAGTAAGCAATTTTAGTTCGCGGATAAGCCACTTTAAGATAACAGGAATATAGCGACAATGCGCTGTCCTGAGTTTTGCATTCGGTTAGGAAACCATGTTGGGGTTCTATTACCCAGGACCTCCACATGAAGAGCATTTGGCTGATAGTTGTGCCTCTATAGCGCATCAGAGTGCTATAGGGGGAAAGGGATGGTCTGGAGCATTGGAGCGCGGTGGAGTGACTCCTGTTTTTACTCGAGTTAACACACCTCGCTCCCATGAATTGTTACACCCGAACGTAATTCTTAGGGGTGAACATTTCTCACAGGCTGGGTTTAATTAAATTGCTTGCTTGCGAAAGGCTTTTTTGAAGTCTGAATATCGTCAGTGATACGGCAATACGTTCTATGTCAAAAATTACGAAATTTCTAAATTTCGAGCTAAATTTGAGCTATTTGAAAAACTATTCAAAACAATTATATTATATTGTGGTAATATTATCGTGTTTTTTGGGATATATTAAAAATAATCATACCAATTGAAAAATAATAATACCAATCTTTAAGGCGTTAATGTGGAAAGAGTTAGGATCACATATAGGGGAAAGTGGGGGAACCGTGCGCGGTGGGGAACGGTGCGCACCATTAAAATTCAAATTACGCGGCATACTGAGAGTCCCCTCCCGAACAGGCTTAAGCGGGAACATGCACAGAGTCTCTGAAGCCATTAACTGCCACTGCAGTTGAGTTGTGTACTTAGTGAAAGGCGAAAGTGTGCATTTGAGGTTTTTGTTACTATTTTCCACTTGCACAAATTAAGACGGTGAGTCCGTAAATCTTAACTACTTGTTTTGAAATAATTATATTCTTAAAGAATATCATCTGCTGCATATATGCACACCATTTGGTTGCATTTAGATAAGTAATTTTTGTAGGATGATGTAATTACGTTTTTAAACCATAGTGGGGTAACCGTGCGCGAAAATGCGCACGGTTACCCACTAATCAATTAAATATGAAGCAATATTGTTATCGTTTTTGGGTACTAAAATCCGTCTTTTATTTTCAGATGCCACGAAATTACGTTCGAAAGACTGAAATCCATCAATATAGTGATGAATTGCTGGAGACTGCACTGAATGCAATTAGAAACGATGGGAGGAAAATACGAGAAGTTGGGAGGTCTTTTGGTATTCCTGAATCAACACTCAGAAAAAAGCTTTCTCTAAATCAACTAAAAATCCCCCATCTCGGTAGAAAGGCGATTTTTACAGCAGAAGTGGAAGCTGAATTAACCCACTATATTCTGACACTCGCAAAATTGTTTTACGGCGTAACGCCCCGACAACTGAGGCAGTTAGCGTTTAATTATGCTCAACAGAAAAATATTCCAAATAATTTCAATAAACAAACTCAGTTAGCAGGCAAAGATTGGTTGTATGGGTTTCTCAAGCGAAATCCTGAAATATCATTGAGACAGCCTGAGGGGACTAGTCTTAATCGAATTGCTGCATTTAATGCGGACGAGTTAAAACTTTTTTATTCAAATCTCGAGAAAGTTTTACAAAAATTTAAATTTGAAGCAAACAGGATATATAATATGGACGAGACGGGTGTAACCACTGTACAGAAGAAGTGCCCGAAGGTTTATGGACGTAAGGGTGTAAAAAAAGTAGGAGCTGCTATTTCAGGTGAAAGAGGGAGGACCATTACAGCCGTATTTTGCATGAGTGCCACAGGAAATTATATCGCGCCCATGCTGATATATCCCAGAAAGAGAATGGCTCCTGCGCTGCAGAAAAATGGGCCAACTGGTGCTAACTATAAATGTTCAAAAAATGGATGGATGAATTCTGAACTTTTTCTTGATTGGTTAATGCACTTCGAAAAACAGGCAAATCCCACTTTAAATGACCCGATTCTCCTTATCCTTGACAACCATTCAAGCCATATATCCATAGAGGCATACGATTTCTGTAAGTCAAATCATATTCATATGGTGTCCCTTCCGCCACATACTTCCCATCACCTTCAACCCCTTGACCTATCCTTCTTTGGTCCTTTAAAAAATGCGCTATACAGGGAGTATGATATTTATTTAACTACAACAGGCCATGAAAAGATCACTGAATATGACGTAGCTGAGCTGTTAAATAAAGCGTTCGTAAAAGTCGCATCGATGGAGAAAGCAGTTTCGGGATTTCGTTCTGCTGGAATAAGGCCATTTGACCCTAACAAATTCAACGAAGATGATTTCGCTCCGGCCAACGAAATGAGACAGTTTGTAGTAGAAGGTTCTCCCGAACGTAGCGCTAATTTATTAACACTTGCATCTCAGCCAAATCTACAAAAAATTCCTAATCCGGCAACACCCGAACCTAGTGAAAATTCAGACGGTGAAGATAGACAGACAGCTCATATGCCAAAACAACAGCAGCAGGATCTACCTATTCAAGGTCATCTACCATGTACATCTACCGCTGAACAAGATCATCTACCATCTACATCTAAGTCTGGACACAACCATCTACCATCGACATCTACATTAAATAATTCATTCTTCCAATTTGCACCTATTCCAAGGAGAAAAGAAAAAGGAAGAGTAAAAACAGTGTCTCGTTCGAAACAACACTCTGAAATATTGACTAGCACACCCCTAAAAGAACGATTAGAACAAGCTCAAGCAAAGAAAAGGGAAAAAGACGTGAAAAAAAACATGAAATTAAAAAGTGTCAAAACATTAGGAAAGAACAATATTAAGAAAGATAATAAGAAAATGAAGAGGGCTCCAACACCTGAACTTGATGCACAAGAACGTGACGAGGAAGATGAAATCGAGAATGCTTATTTCTCGATCCCACCTCACTCCTTCTACGGAACCACTACAAGAAAAATAACGGCAAAAGAGAATGTTGCAAAAAAAGTAAAAAAACGCATATGTCAGTCTCCGGAAATTAAAAGAGGGAGAAATAAGAAACCAGCAACGCCTGAATCATCAGAGGTATCTGACATAGACGATAGTGACATTTGTGACGATGATGAAGTAGACGATATCAACCCCAACTATGTTCCATTTGATGCAGAACCTGACGTGCGGACTGAATTATGTGGCATATGTGGAGAACATGGAAAAAGCGAACTATGGTACCGGTGTGTTGCATGTGGCTTATGGAACCACGCGGCATGTACCGGTAAAGATGCCCCCGAACAATACATTTGCGACTTTTGTCAAGGTTAAACAGATACCTACTTAACATTATAGGTATATAATCACTCGTACAATAAATATTTGTTCTTGCATGTGAATTTGTTTTTATACCACTGTATTATTAGGTACTTGTATATTCCAAACTACTGCGCACTGTTCCCCACCCTGTGCGCACAGTTACCCCATGGGGTGGGGAACGGTGCGCAAATGCAATTTTTTACTTTTTCTAATTATATATGATTATGTTAAGAAATTCAATATCTATTATAGTGCATACTGAAAGTAGAATAATTAGGGTATCAGATAACGTTTTTATTTTATTTTTTATGTTTAAGAGTTGACCACCACAACGATTCTCGCTTAGGTGCGCACCATTCCCCCACCTTCCCCTATAGGTAAGACTGCTGACAGGAAACCTATTGCAAATGATGTAGCCTAATGTAAAATAAACTTAAAGAGTAAAACAGAAAGAAAAATAGGTAAATATAATTAATCTTCACTTATTATAAAACATATACAAATCAAAAAATTTAATTTAGCTGTGGATAATGGTAACATCATTTTGGGGAGGTTTTTTAGCCTTAAAACACCGCGCTTGCCAGACGTGTTGGTGAGTGTGTATTCAGCCGTCCATTCTGGATCAGACGCTGTTCGTAGCCGTCCACTCTGGATCAGACGCTACAGTCAACAGTACAGTACAGTACAACAAACAAGGAACGAAATCGATTACATCATGTGTAACAAGAAAGGTATCGTAGAAGATGTAACAGTAATAAATAATGTCTCTCTGGGTAGTGATCACAGAATGGTTAGAGCTAAACTAAGGATTAAGTATAGCAAACGTAGAATAAACTTTAATAACACGATACAAATAGACACAGAAAAGCTAAAAGTCGATAAAGAAAAATATGCTAGTAAATTAAAAACCGCCCAAGCACTGAATCTAGAACAACTCAGCGTTAATAAAATTAACTCAGTTATAACAAAAGAACTATTGAATGCTAGCTCAGAAGTAGCAACCCGCCATAACAACAAAAAATCCAAAATAAGTGCAGAATCGAAGAATATGCTGAAACAACGAAAAGAGCTCCTGTCACTAAACAAAAGAAATACCACAGAATACAAAGAACTTAATCGAGCCATACGAAAACAGATAAAAGACGATATTAAA